GGAGGACCTGCCTAAAACTGGCTTGTAGGAGACCCAGGAGACCAGTCCTCACTGGAGTCTCACAGGGCAGGACCCGGGGGTGGGTTGAGGAGCAGGGGTGACCATCTCCCACCACAGCCAACAGCCGGGTGCTGGGACGTACATGTGAGCACCCTGTGGCAGGTGTGCAGAAGATGTTCCCGGCGTCCCTCTGTTTAATGGCCTCCATAGAAAGGGTTAGGCTTTTTTCTCTTCTCCTCCCCGCTCCCCTCTCCCCGGCCCCTCCAGCTGAACTTGCCAAGAACAGCAGGCAGGTACAATGGAAATTAAACACCGCTATTAATTTACATGAGGTGGGTGAAGTGTAAGCAAGAGGAGCGTGGGGGGATAAGGAGCGGGTGATAGGCGTGTGCCAGGCAGGTCCCTGACGCCGGCCAGGCTCGCCTTACCGAGCTCCCCCATTGCACGCTGGAACCGGAGCTGCGGCGGTGGCGGGGGGTGACCTGACACGCCACCCCTTGGGAAGCAGCCTGGAAAGGGGGACACTGCACTGGGCTCCCGCCAGGGATGCTCAGGAGGCAGGGAGAAGGAATTCGGGTTGCATCCACCCGTACAAAGCTTTAAGGCACGCACAAACCGGGATTTCATTTATATTTTGCCAGTTTGAGGAATAGAAATGCTCTTTTTTTTTTTACCTTTGGGGGTAAAAAGAAGAACTGAATTCAGTAGCAAAACTGCCCTTCTCGGGCGGTGTGTTTTGCTACCTGCTCCCCTGCTGCAGCCATCTCACAGCCCACGGCAGCCCCTCTCGCTGCTCCAGCGGCTCTTGGTGGCTCTGGGATGAGCCACATATTTGCAGAGGGGCCGTAACCACCGACCTGCTGGGGCTGGGCCACAGTTAAATGTTTTTTTGGGGTGGCGCAGCCCACGGTGGCCCTCAGCCCTAACCTGTCCCCACGTTTGCAGGCTGAGGCTCTGCCCTGGTCTCGTCAGAGTCACCACAGCCGAAGAGAGGCAGATGCTCCAGGAACTGCAGAGAGGGATGATGTTATGTTTGTTTATTGATTTATTTTTACACAAGATGAAATGAGTTTCCCTCGGCTCCTTCTGCGACAAAGCGATTGAATTCGTGCTGAAACTCCGCGCAGGCAGGAGGCAGCAGAGCTGCTGGCGGTTGGCACAGGCTGCCTCTAAAGCATTATTTCAGAGAATGGAAAATGTCAGCGTGATAAAAATGGAAAGGGTTGGTGTGCCACGTGCTGCCAGGAAATCGGGCTGCTACTCTCTGCTAATCAGGCTTTTAATGAAATTTAGCTTGTTCACCCCACCCTGTTCTTTTGACATTTAAAACTAATTGAGTGGGCTACCACCCCTCCGCTGAGGGCCAGCAAGCGTGGCCGTAGGAGGCTGCCGGGGCTGGGGAGGCGTGCAGGCTTTCATTCACTGATGTGCCGGCACACATCAACGGTGGAAAGCAAAGCAACAGCAGAACTTCAGTCAAGCCATGACAAAAAAAACGGGGAAAAAAAACCCCAAATGTATGTAGGTTTAGGATATTGCCCTCTGCAGTGGGGGCAGCAAGGCGGCCGAGCCCCGAGAGCCGGGGTGTCTGCGCCCCAGCCACTGCGTGTACGCCTGACCCTTCTGTGGCCACAAATACTCAGACCACTGGTGAAATCAGAGGAAAGACCCATGATGAACTTCCACAAGGACCAGCAAAGCCGCTGGCCAGCCACCAAGTGTGGAAATTGCACGGAGGAAAAAGGTGAGGGGGACAAGGAAGGAAAACACCATTTCCAAATGGTGATCAAGTTCCTTTCCCCTGTACAGAGCAGGCTCTGCTCTTCATGCCGAGTATTCACAGGCATGATTGAATTCATCATAGAATCATAGAATGGTTTAGGTTGGAAGCGACCTTAAAGATCAGCTCGTTCCAACCCCCCTGCCATGGGCAGGGACACCTCCCACTAGAGCAGGTCGCTCAAAGCCCCATCCAGCCTGGCCTTGAACACCTCCAGGGATGGGGTATCCACAGCTTCTCTGGGCAACTTGTTCCAGTGTATCACCACCCTCAGAGTGAAAAATTTCTTCCTAATGTCTAATCTAAATCTACCCTCTTCCAGTTTGGAGCGATTACTCCTTGTCCTATCACTACACTCCCTGAGTCCCTCCCCATATTCCCTGTAGGCCCCCTTTAGGTGCTGGAAGGCCGCAATGAGATCTCCCCGGAGCCTTCTCTTCTCCAGGCTGAACAGCCCCAACTCTCTCAGCCTCTCCTCATAGGAGAGGTGCTCCAGCCCTTCACACTTCCCTTCCCTGCAGGACAGCATCATTCGTCATACAACTCTGCTAAAACAATACTTCAGACAAACCTTTACCCACAGTAAATACCAATCCGCTGTTTCAACAACAACATCCTCCTCACCAGAGCAAAATCCTGCCTCCCCCCAGGTGACTGGGAAACCTCATGTGGTCTTCCCACGATTGTCACCCCACATGGAAGACCATGACAATTTTCAGCCATCAAGGCTCACACAGAGCAGCTGCTGCCGTGGACATGATTGACATCCTGGGAGCTTGATACGGTTTTGTATATATTTCATTATTTTCTTTTTATTATTAATAGTTTCATGAAAGTAGTTTAGTTTCTTCTGAACTCGTAAGTCTCTTTCTCTCTCTCTCTCCTCTCCTTGAAGGGAGAGGTGGGGGAGAGCATCTGTCACTCACCTCAGTGGCCGGTCCAGCCCAAACCATGAGAGGAGATGATGTCCCCAGGCTGGGTCCTCCAGCAGCCACTGGCAGGGACCTGCCACCCATTCACGGAGTGAACCTTCACGTTCCAGCTAACGAGCAGACGATCTGATCTGTTACAGCTGCATCAGAGCAGCTGCATTTTGAACAAAGCTACCATCAGCAGTGAGAAAGAGCCCAAAGCTTTCATTACGTCAAAATCACTTTCCTGCAGGTTTCTATTTTTAAATGTGGCTGCTGAGGTACATCGCCCTTCATCTTGCGCAATTCCCCCTCCGCAGAACATCCACCGGAGAACTTCAACGCTGACAACAGAAGCCAAAAAGCATCGCAGGCAGACATCAGCAAAGGCAGCGCAACAGTAAACAAAAGCTTTAGGAACATTTTGGTGTTGTACTGCAGATGTATCTGCACGAAAGAGTCTTATTACCTTTTACTGTTAAAAGCCTGAAGTAAACACCATCTTGGAGAAGGCAGCGTCATGTTGCAGTTATTGCAGAAACACCTTCAAATCTCGATAAAGATAAAATTCACAGAGGCCACCCTGCCTTGGTTCCCCTGAGCACCAGGAACATCTCTAACCCCCCCAGATGGGTCACCCAGGGTGAGAGATGCTGCAGAAACGATTTTGAAAAGAATGACCTGAGCGCTGGGCAAGCCTGTCCCACGGCGCTGGTGCTGGCCTAGGCGTGCAAAGTACCCCCTGAAATCCCACAGCTCTGGATTTTATGTTCCTCTTGGTGTCCTGAACCCCAACCTTGCCCTCCAAGAGCTTAGCCAGGGTCTTGCTTCAACTGGTGGTGCCCTGGTGTAACCCACCACCAGTTAGAGGTGGGGGGAGGCTTCCTTCTGAGCAGCCCCCTGGCTCTGCAGGCCTTTCGGCAGGACGCTGGTGGTGACCCACAGCCCGCCCTGCCCACCTGCAGTCCTGAGGGGTGTGGGACATGTCCCCAAACCCTGCCAGGGCAGAGTACGACCTGCACACAGTCCCCCCCTCCACCGGCCACGCTGGCGGTTGGGGCTACCTACAGGAAGCAGATCAGCAAGCGCCGGGGCAGCGTCCCGGTTCAACGGGAGGCTTGCAGAGTGTGAGGCAGTTCCCTCATTGGGCAGTTATCAGCTAACGATTTCAGATACGTGCTGTAAGGCTTTGACAGCCCCTGTTTCAGATCTAAGTCCTCTGATGGGTATACCTGCACGGTTCCCAATGCGGGAGGCCGTGGTGCAGGAAGGCAGGGAGAGGAGAACAAATGTTTCCAAGATTTGGTATGCTCCCAGGACATACAGTGATAGGACGAGGGGTAATGGCTTCAAACTGGAAGAGGGTAGGTTTAGAATAGATATTAGGAAGAAATTTTTCACTCTGAAGGTGGTGAGGCACTGGAACAGGTTGCCCAGAGAAGCTATGGATACCCCATCCCTGGAGGTGTTCAAGGCCAGGCTGGATGGGGCTTTGAGCAACCTGGTCTAGTGGAAGGTGTTCCTGCCCATGGCAGGGGGGTTGGAACTAGATGATCTTTAAGGTCCCTTCCAACTCTAACCATTCTATGATGAATTCTATGATGCTAGCTGAATTCCAGAATAATCCAGGTGTCCTCTACTCAGTTACCAGCTCCCATCTTTTCCTTCAAGAGCGATCCATCCTTTGCAAATCCAGCCTCCCTTGGCTTATCTGTTCACAGCGCAAGACGTATACCTGGAAACTCCACTTTGGATTGGCACCACAAAATGAATTAAAATTTTCAGAGAAATGAAAAAAAAAATGGTACAGTCTAGCAATAAGCAACACCGATCATCAAATGAATAGTGATTCTTCAGATGAACATTGAACCCCATTTATTCAGGCTTTTGTGCAGGGTGCACAATTCAAGGCAGTTACGTATACACAGTATGCACATCCTAATAGCGTACAAAAAGGCAAGTAGCAACGGGTGCTTACACTGGAAATGTATGTACAGACATATTAAATCAGGAGGTTTACATTAGAAAATTATCTGACGCTATTCATGTCTCATCAAGGCTGTTAGAAATAGTGTAGAAAACCAATAAAACTTGGAAAGTATCTACTCTTGTTTCAGTTCAGCCAGGCTGGATATAGAGTCAGGCTTCCCACAAGACATGATTGTGTGGGCAAAGCCTACAAGATCCCCGAGCACTTTGAAGGGTCACATCACCGTTCACTCTGACACGTCCCGTTACATGTTAAAGATTAACATAGTAGCATTATTTCCTGGGTTTTGTTTGTTGGTTTGTTTGTTGGTTGTTTTTTTTTTTCTGGGAAGAACAACAGCTTAAATACTTTTAAAAGCAAATTTTCTCCTGGGAAAAGACAACAAAGGAAAGATTTGGAGAGAGACCATGAGAGAACCAAACATTAGCGAAATGTCATAACGGCACTTCCTGGTCCTTCCCGAAAATTCTTCATGGACCAGGCAGCACCTAATTTAAAGCGCTGTAAACTGTCCAGATTTACAGAAGCGCAAGAGCAGGCCTTGGCAGACCCCAGGTCTTCTGCTGATCTTTACCTTGTTCCTATCCTAAGGGCTGCAAGAGATCGTACTTTTGTAACCTGCACAAAAAGACACAGAGAGATCAAGCAGATTTAGCAAAAGGATACTAAACAAAAGCAATAAATAGAAATACACAGCAACATTGTAAGAGCCATGTTTCACTCCCTGTAGCTATCCTGAATATAATTTCCAACTGAATTTTGTTTCTAAGACGTCGAAAGAATGAGGGAGCACCAGAAAAGAATGATTTAAGAAACAAGTGGTTCTTGTGGCCAAGGTGCCCGAGGCCACCCAGAACCCATCTTCGTTGACTTTCAGCCTGAAGAGCAGGTCCAACTCTTAACTATTCTTCCATGCCAGAGTCAAATTCTTGCACATACCAGTACAGTTTTGATGGCAAATTTTAGCATTACAAAGAACGTAATGCAGCTGACACAAAGCACAGCTGAGTGCGACGCAGGTAGGACTGTGTTAAAACTGCTCCCAAAGGTGGCTGAAATCAGATGCCTTGTGCATAAATACACCAAATATGGGACATGTTTGTAGAACATTCAATCACAGCCCATATGATTTCAGACATCTCTTGTTTTTTGCACAGCACACGTGCCAATGGCTGTACGAGCTCTGGGGTTTAGTTTATTTGGTTTGTTGCCTCACATGAGCCTTTTGGAGAAGAGGTGAGGACAGCATAAAGACTCTCTCCCAAATTTGTTTCTTTCCTAAAGTTTAAAGTTCTCTGCTGGAAATATTTACAATGAGTCAAAATTTACTCGAGTGAAGATACATTTCAAAAATGTTTATTTTCCATGTTGATTTTTATGAAAATTCATTGTTGAAGTGGCTTGAAAAATGTTTTCCTTTTATGGGGTGACTTCTTTAAATACGCATTAGATTATGAATAGACAAAGAATAATCAGTATTTTAAATTCAGCCTTCCTATAGTGCAAACCTCTCATTCTGATTGTTTTAGAGAAACACTTCAGCTACAATTATTAATAAATCAGAATTTTATTCAAAAGGAATCAGGAAACAGACTTAATTACCAGATTCTCTTTGAATGAGTCGCTATTCAAAAGTAAGAAGCCCTCAGTATCACTTTCTCTACGTTTACGAGCGCGGCTACAGCAGGTAACACGCAGGAATGTCACGTCAAATGTTATCCCACAGCCTGTTCCCCACACAAACCGTGCTCTGGCACAGAAAGTCAGTGGGAACTTCCAGGGCTTGAGCATAAGCAAAGAAGATGTGTGGTTAAGACCGAGAAGTACTAAAACCACTCTGCTGTTTTGAAAGTCTGACAGTGGTTCCTGGCCAGGGGTGGGGGGAGAAACTGGCCGCTGGCAGCGGGTGACACTGCAGACTGGGAAGGTACCACTGAAACCAGTGAAATGTTTCCTGGTGCTGAGAGATCCCCAGAAAGAACTGGCTTTTGCGGGAGGATAAGAACAAACAGGCAGGTCAACATACGTGATTTTGATATCAAGGACAAAACCGAACCATACTCACTCTGCATGCTGTAGTATTTTTTAAATCATTTTTTAAACACAGTTAGCTTTAAAAAGCTTGACTTCTAAAACTATTCAGGATCTAAGTTTATACAAAAATAAGTAGCAACTTATGTATTTCACGTTAATACAGCCATTACAGGCCCTGATGCCACAGTCTGTATTAGAAATCTCTGGTTTAACCGTGCTCTATATACATATTTTTTTACATATCGGTGTATATATGTGTATAAATTTATCAAGCTCAGTTAAACACAAAGCAAACAATACTCCCTTTCCCTTAGAAAATAGTTTCATCCATTCAGCTCCGGATTGCAAAGCTAGTTGCAGTGTCACAGGCAAAACACAATTTTACAAAATCACTGGGGAGGAAAAGGGCATTTTTACTCTTAAATCAATAGAATAAGCCACAACGGAAGTAATTAAAGTAAATATGACTGAAGAAAGAAATTTATGGTATTCTCTTCTCCAGTGCTCTCTAAAGAATTCAGCAAACGTCAATAAACAAATAAATGAAAAGTCTGGCGAATTATACCAGAGTGCTTTGCTACCATAAATTTAATTTGAGAAAAAGTCTACCTGGCCGTACGTAGCTGCCTCTTGTTCTCACCCTGTAGTCTAAGTAGTCAGCTAATGCAACGTATTTCTTTCCGTAAGGCTTAAGGCTTAAACTTTTTTTCTCCACAATGGTTTTAAACTAATAATTATGCAACATCTTCCTTCCTTGTCTTAATTGGCATTCTCATCCTGAAAGGAAGTTATTTAATTGCATTAAACCTTTCAAATGATCTAAACTGAGATGTGTTCTTCAGGTGAAAAAAGCGGCATGACACACTAGCAAGGACAAGAGGAAAAAAAAGAAAAGATAAACCCCCAGAGCAGTAAAGCAACGTCAGAAGTGAGAACCAGTTCAAAGAGAGGGAGAAACACGTATGAAAAGGGCCACCCAAAGCGTAGAGCAGCCGCCGCTAGAAAGAACGTTCTCCAGAATTTGTTTTCATGGCCCCATATAAAAATGGAGACAGGTAAGAGATCCCCCCCACTCCCGATATCTGCCACTGCTTCTTCAAGTCAGGATGGGCTGAAGAGCCGCTGGATACCGAACGTCTCAAAGATATCTGCGCTTTTGCCGTGGAGGAGTTCAGCTTTTACCAGGGTGACCTGCGGACGAGGTTCGAAGCCAGGCAGGACTGTAACTGTAACTCCTATCAGTACGAGTCTACAGGAAAAAGTCGAGTATTTTGTGGCTTTTTTATTTTTCGTTTTAGTACTTTTACATCCAGGCCAACTGATGTGCAGCGAAGGAAACCCACAGCAGCATGCAGGTGTGCCCGACTGCTCTGCGGAGAGAGCGGGCACAACCAGCGTGTTCCAGTGCTTTCCCTTGCGTAGTCCCATCAGCCAGAGACGCGGCACCACAAAAGCACGGCCTTTCTCTCCCACGTGGTCCCTTGGGCACATGGCCACGGCGAGGCTTGAAGCTGAACCTCATGGGTAATAACCACGGAGATTCAGAACTTCTCTGGTTTTCTACACGCATTAACACACTTGTTTTCTGCCATTTTCTGTTCTCCAGAATGCTACGAGCAATGACTAAGTAGGCAATAGTTATTTCTTCTATAAGGTGGCAAATACTATGCAGGCCTGATAAGAGAATGTGTAGCCAAAATCAGCCCAAAGATTATTCCAAGAAGTAGCAGTAATAGGTCTAAATTTAAACATAACGAGTTAGACAGCTTTGGTGAAAACGTCATTGTAAGATCCCAAATGCGAAAGAAGAAAAGAGGAAGAGCTGTGTTTTCAAATGGACAGAGAAGAACAACAACTGGCACCGAGCAGCAACAGTCGTGCCCGAAACACGGCAAGAGACGAGATCCAAGAAGTCAAACTGTGTCTTCATGGGAAGAAAAACTCTTCAAGGACAGGAAACGTACAGCAGAAGTGCCGCTTAAGGATATGAAGATTTCCTATCATTTTTAACAGTTTTTCTGATGTGTGAACAAGCTGTCCGTCCCCAGACCCTAAACTCTGAACCTGCTCTTGCTGTCCTGTCCCCAGGCCCCGAACTCTGGACCTGCTCACTCAGAGGTAAATGGATGTGTTCCCCGCAATAAAGGCGCTGGCGGCAGCATCGGCTGGCCCGTGTACGCTGGATGTTACCGACACGTTCTCAACTTACTCTGCTGGAAGATCGAAGCGCACTTGGCAGAAAAGTTTTCAGCTTCAGCCTCGATGCAAATGAATCTCTCTCTCTGGCAATACGACTGCAATTACCATATTCATAGAGATTATTAATTAATCAGAAGTGCTGCTTAAATAAAAGCAAAGCTGGACTATTTCAGCTCATCAGTATAACGTATTTCAAGAAAACATTTGACAGAGTAGTAAACCACTTACTAGAAGCTCAGTTTCGTAGAAGTTATAGATTAAGAAGTTAAATACTGTATCAAGTTTAATGAAGAAATCAAGGGTGATTAAGAGGCGTGAAAGCTGAGGCCGCAGGGAGCTGTAGACTTGATACAAGATCCCGCAGAGTTCCGTGTGTGTGCCCGGGGAGCCTGTCACGCCGCGATGCTCTCACACACGGGTCTCGCCTCGCTGGAACCTGCAGTGGGGCCACTAGAACCCTGCGGGTACACAGCGCCTGTCTTGTCCAGGCAGAAACGCTCCAAGGCAAAATTCCCATGCTGCAGAGGATGTCTTCTGCTGTGTTACACCTTGCTGAATTTCAGAGGCCAGCCTGGGGACACGTGGCCTTAAGAACCCCAAGACCTTTTTAGTGCTGGGCAACGGGCTTTCTAAAAGCCTTCAGCTAAATATTCAGATAATGGCAACTCCTCTTGTGTAAATAAGGTAGTTTAAAGGAAACAAAAAAAAAAACCCAACCCAAACAAGCAAAAAAAAACCCAACAATGCAATTGTCCTTCCTCTGAGCTTAATCTCTTTTCACCTGATCCACTTACGCAGAGCACAGGGAACATTAACTCTTAGGCACACGTGCATTGGAATATTTGGCCTGGACCGTCTCCTCTGACGTGCATTTCCATCTCCCCTCACTGCTTCTGCTGCCCAAAGCTCACTGCTGGGAACAGAAACACTCCCACGCATTATTTACAAAAGCCAATGTAAACACCTAATGGAATCCCAGCGATTCCAAATGCTCTGTTTCCCTTTGCTAACTAAAAAAAAACTTTCCCTAAACTATGAGCTCTGTGGGCATAATCTCTCTCTCCCTGAATATCTGGAAAGTTGCAGGCACTGCTGCAAATACTGTGGTCTCTTCTTGTGAAGAAATTTGATGGTTTGAGGTTGGAGTTTTGGGGGAAGGTTTTTGAGGCTTTGGTCACTTCAGTCACACTAAATGAAATGTATACATTTGATATGTCAGCAATCTCTGCGCAGCAAAGGGAGAAAAAGCAAAACAAGTCAAAGTTTATCTAACCGCACTCCAAAGGAGCAATTTATCAACTCAGAATGTACAAAGAGTAAAGTGAACACAAGCGATAGACTCCACGAATCAAAACAAAACCAGGTAACTGTCCTGTGCCTACAGA